ATTATACATTTTGTTTATTATTAAACTTACTGTATGTCGAGGGATTTGATGGTGAATTAGGAGAAACAGAATTTGTGGAAGCTACAAGTAAGCACATTATACATTTTGTTTATTATTAAACTTACTGTATGTCGAGGGATTTGATGGTGAATTAGGAGAAACAGAATTTGTGGAAGCTACAAGTAAGCACATTATACATTTTGTTTATTATTAAACTTACTGTATGTTTAAAAGTTAAATACGTTGAGAGCACTCCTTAGAAATTGTAATTTTATGTGTGTTACAATAATACACATTTTAGGGGAATGTCTAGAAAAGAAGCACGATTTTTATTTCCAACTGTTTTAAGAACTTTAAATTCTGTACTTTTTTATTCCATGTATTCTAAGTTCAAAAACATAAACAACATATAATTTCTGTGAGGAACACATACACAGTTTTATACTAACAGTAAGATATGAAATATGACATCACAAATTTATGTCAGTTAGGAAAGCTTGCTTTGAGATGTCCTCTAGCAGACCTGTGCATGTGTGTGTGTGTGTGTGTGTGTATTATATTTTAGTTCAGCTAAACCAATGATTCTGTCTAGCTGGTTAAATTTTAAAATGTTATTAAGAAACAAACTGAATTAGAGTGATTTAGTTTCAGTGTTTTCAAAAAGTAAAAATTGTCAATATGTAGTTACCTCAGATTAATAACATATTACACTGGACCTTTCATGGTGCACCACCTGGAGTCACTCAGATAAATTACTGTGATACTTTTTCTTCAAAAGTTTTAAACTTTTAGGCTTCTGAAAATAAGCAAAGTAAAAATACTTGAACTGAATTTTATATGTTAAGATGTCCTAGAGTCTGATTGATAACAACTGGTTATAACTAATATACTGTAGAAAAGTTCATGAAATGTTAGTCTCTCTTCAGTAAAGCTGCCGACAGTGAAATGATTAAAACTTCCATGAAGCTGTGAAGGATTGGACTCGATCAACGGTTAGATTAAAATAAGATAGGCTATACACTAAGTTAGCTTTGAAGGAAGAGTTGTTAAAACGGCAAATAACAACTGGCCCGTTTATAATTAGTTCTCCTTAATCAAAGATTGCATTATTTGTGAATCACACAATTTTTCTCTTTCGTGATCTTGATGCTTTTCTTCACTTCTTGTTAACACACAGTTTTCAGGATTATGGTTTTGTATGTACATCATTTTCTCTGTTTATGTTCAGTCACCAGTTTTATACTGTAAATGTTTAGTACTCTTTCACAAATATTTGTTCCAGTATTTCTTCTAGGCTTATGTTGAGTGTAGTATATACAGTCTTTTAGGGTTTATTTTCTGTATGTCCATTGTTCCTAAGCTGTTATAGTGGGGCCCATGGGTTTGCTATGTGGGTGATGGTAAAATCCCATTGTTTCTTCAGATTAAGTCCAACAATGGGCCAGCAGTAAGCTTATGGACTTTAAACAATCAAATATGGGGTTTGATTCCCTATAGTAGGCACAGTTCAGATAACCTGTTGTGTAGCTTTGTACCAAGAAAACAAGAACAACAAGAGTTGTTGATTGGTACTGTTGACTAGCTGTTGTTCCTGTAGTGTAACAATTGAAAGTTAAAGACAGATAACCCTTAAACAAGAGTTATTGGTGGGTACTGTTGACTAGCTGTTGTTCATATAGTGTAAGAGTTCAAAGTTCGAGACAGATAACCCTTATACAAGAGTTGTTGGTGGGTGCTGTTGACTAGCTGTTGTTCCTATTGTGTAACCGTTCAAAGTTAGAGACAGATAACCCTTAAACAAGAGTTGTTGGTGGGTACTGTTGACTAGCTGTTGTTCCTATTGTGTAAGAGTTCAAAGTTAGAGACAGATAACCCTTAAACAAGAGTTGTTGACTGGTACTGTTGACTAGCTGTTGTTCCTATTGTGTAACAGTTCAAAGTTAGAGACAGATAACCCTTAAACAAGAGTTGTTGACTGGTACTGTTGACTAGCTGTTGTTCCTATTGTGTAAGAGTTCAAAGTTAAAGACAGATAACCCTTAAAAAGCTTTGTTAGAAAAGAAACGTATGATCTGTAGTTTAAGTTAGGTTCAAGGTAAGTGATACTACATTTGATATTGATTCTGTGTACAGGTGATACAGATACCGGATTTAAGAATTTTCCAGTTTTGGGTTGTTCGTCTAGGCTTGTAATAATCATATTAAAATGTATGAAACACATACATAAAATTTGTTATTTACTTGCCTTTTTTGACATTTTCATGATGAACAAAGGGGTAAAAGTTCAAGTTAACACACAGAGAGAGGGCTGCACAACCAAAGGATAGGTCTGAACTGAAACCTCATCTACTTCATTGACTCACCGCGCCTCCCAAACAAAGTAATTAATTCAAAATTGAGCCTAAAATAATTTTTTACTTACTTATTTACACAGTAATTGTATTGCAGCTTTCAGTAATTTCAGGGCAGGAGTGTGCATCAATAACTAGAAAAAGTCCGGGTATAAGGTGTTTCTCCAAGCTAATGGAGTGTTCACCAGAACAGCCAGTTTCTGGAACATTCCAGTTTTTGGGTTGCTGGATTTGGGATTGTCTACTTCTAAATATATTGCTCATGTCATTTCAGTCATTTTATAATGTTGCAGGATTTGTGTTGTTGTAATGTACAGTGTATAATGATAATGTTGCAGGTTTTGTGTTGTAATGTACAGTGTATAATGATAATGTTGCAGGATTTGTGTTGTAACGTGCAGTGTATAATGATAATGTTGCAGGTTTTGTGTTCTTGTAACGTACAGTGTATAATGATAATGTTGCAGGTTTTGTGTTGTTGTAATGTACAGTGTATAATGATAATGTTGCAGGCTTTGTGATGATGTTATGGTGTATAGTATATTATATACTTATTAGCGTATAGCCCGTCCAAAAATGACAGGACAAGTATTACCACCCCTACCCCATAGTATACCCTAACCTCACATTTCATAGCTAACTGAAATAAATACATTTTGCTAAATCAAGTTTGACCAACAAAGTGGCAGAAGAAGCAGTCAAATGTTGGTAAATTCCTGGTGTATTCATAGAATAATTATTGGTAAAAATCAGTTAGAATAACAACTTCTAATATATAGAAAAGCCAGTGTGTTTTGGTAACACTACTTTCCAACATGTCATGTCACTTAGCAACAAAAGTATAACCTTATACTGTTGTTAGTCTATGTACTAAAAGTATAAAATGAAACGTGTATAAACAACAAAACTGGAAAAATATTTGTTGATTTCTTAATTTATAGTCTCCAATGATTGAAGAGATTTGTTTGTTATTAAAAACAGAAAACAGCTTAATTGAGAAAGGAATTAAATTTAAAATTGAATCGATATTTTTACTTTCATGATAAACTTGGCGTTAGGCTAGGTGATCCCACACTACATATTTACTTTAGGCTTATTATACCAACACTCACTACACTTATAAGTAGGGATGCACTGATAGTAAAATTTGGCCAAATACCTGGTCCGGATACTTGATCACTAAGCTTTAGCCGGGTGTCAACTAGGACCAAACTCTCCTCTTGCCACCCCACCCCCCAAAAAACACACACAAGAATTAGAAACAAAAACAAAATTGACGTTTATTACATTTAACCAAATAATCACCAACAGAACATTCAACTTTTACTTTCAACTTTCAGTGCCTAGCCCCAACTTCTCAAATCCTAACCCCCCTATTGTTTTTTAAACCCCCGACTTTCAGTGGGTGGTCAGTCTTTGTTGCTCAGAACACATTTTTTTTAACTAAACCAATTATTGACTGTAACTTAGATGCCTAACTTCGACACTCGGACGGAGCCGAGTGTTACAGGGTAGCCAAATACCCGGCCGGGGCCGAATATCTGGCTGGGTACCCGTGCATCCCTACTTATAAGATTTCACAGTACCCTTGCACCCCCATTATAAAATCGTAATGGACAGACAGTGATCGAACTATTCTATCTGTTTTTTTATGACTCCTCCTATTTGGAGAAATCAAGCATTACGTGATTGGACACACTGGCTTTTATATAGGTTAGATGTTTCAGGTTTGTAATGTTATAATGTACAGTACATTATATTTATTTCAGGTTTCTAATGTTACAGATGGAAGAGAAAGCTCTGATCATTCTTTTAGAGGGTGAAGATATTTATATCGACTACTACCTTAGAAGGTGGAGATATCTATATCGACTACTACCTTAGAAGGTGGAGATATCTATATCGACTACTACCTTAGAAGGTGGAGATATCTATATCGACTACTACTTTAGAAGGTGGAGATATTTATATCGACTACTACTTTAGAAGGTGGGGATATTTATATCGACTACTACTTTAGAAGGTGGAGATATTTATATCGACTACTACTTCAGAAGGTGGAGATATCTATATCGACTACTACTTTAGAAGGTGGAGATATCTATATCGACTACTACTTTAGAAGGTGGAGATATCTATATCGACTACTACTTTAGAAGGTGGAGATATCTATATCGACTACTACTTTATATAGATATCTCCACCTTCTCGACTACTACTTCAGCACAGCTGCTCTGCACACTATGTTAAAAAACTAAAACATTTTCTACTGTGATGATATTAACACAACAGTCTTCATATAACTTATTAAAAAAGCTCAAGTTAATATATCTTTATGAGTGGAAACCCTGAGCAGAAAATTGTAGGCAGAATTTATAATAAATAGTATTGAAGTTATCAAAACAACATTTGTAATATTGATTTTCATTAATCCAATCAGAAGCTTTTATTTTCTTAATAAAATGATAAGTTAAAATAATGGGCCTTTTTAAATTTAAATATAGCTTGCTAAGTGAGAGTAATAAGGGTTTAGGTGGTATCAAGTGAATAACTTGATGTAACAAGTAATATTTTCAAAACGAGACCCAAAACTCGAGCGCTTTTCAATAGCTGTCTATTAATAGTCAATGTTATTGACTACTGTATGACAGTTTCTGATATAATAATAGTTATTGACTACTGTATGACAGTTTCTGATATAATAATAGTTATTGACTACTGTGTAGGTCTGAGTGATCCTTTCTCTTACTTGATATAAGTCTGAGTGATCCTTTTTCTTATTTGATATAAGTCTGAGTGATCCTTTTTCTTATTTGATATAAGTCTGAGTGATCCTTTTTCTTATTTGATATAAGTCTAAGTGATCCTTTTTCTTACTTGATATAAGTCTAAGTGATCCTTTCTCTTACTTGATATACATCTGAGTGATCCTTTCTCTTACTTGATATACATCTGAGTGATCCTTTCTCTTACTTGATATACGTCTGAGTGATCCTTTCTCTTACTTGATATACGTCTGAGTGATCCTTTCTCTTACTTGATATACATCTGAGTGATCCTTTCTCTTGATATAAGTCTGAGTGGCTGTAGAAGACAAGTTGTTACAAATTATTGATGGGTGTGGAAGACAAGTAACAAATTCTTGATGGCTGTAGAAGACAAGTTGTTACAAACTCTTGATGGTTGTAGAAGACAAGTTGTTACAAATTCTTGATGGTTGTGGAAGACAAGTAACAAATTCTTGATGGCTGTAGAAGACAAGTTGTTACAAACTCTTGATGGTTGTAGAAGACAAGTTGTTACAAATTCTTGATGGTTGTAGAAGACAAGTTGTTACAAATTCTTGATGGGTGTAGAAGACAAGTTGTTACAAATTCTTGATGGTTGTAGAAGACAAGTTGTTACAAATTCTTGATGGGTGTAGAAGACAAGTTGTTACAAATTCTTGATGGCTGTAGAAGACAAGTTGTTGTTACAAATTCTTGATGGGTGTAGAAGACAAGTTGTTACAAATTCTTGATGGCTGTAGTAGACAAGTTACAAATTGTCTGATGATCTGAGCACAATATAGGGATGTCTAAATCTTTAGTGACCTATTTGTTTTTTATACCAATGTCCAGGATAGTCTGAGCACAATATAGGGGTGTCTAATTCTCTGATGACCTGTTTGTTTTTTATACCAATGTCCAGGATGGTCTGAGCACAATATAAGGATGTCTAATTCTTTAGTGACCTGTTTGTTCTTTATACCAATGTAATTAGATAATAAAGAAAAACACTAACGTAATTACATGAAGCATTTATTAGACGTTTCTGAATATTCAAAATTCCATCTTCAGTAATGTAGGGATACAAAACAACCATAATGGAAATTACGCCAGAAATATGATATAATCTTTAATATTCAGTAGCAAACAATTTGAATACAAAAAAGAAAAAGAACAGAAGAAAAAAAAATACTTAGAGCAAATGAAATAGTTCGTAATAAAGTTAATTTCAACGAAATGAAGAATGTGTGTTATTTAAGTACATAGGAGAGTTTCTATGTACAAAGTCTTTTATTAGAAGTTCAGTATCATGTTGAGAGGATGTTAAAATTGGAAAGAGAAATCGGATGTCCTGTTTCTGTAGTGTGTTCATAGATAGCGGAGTTGGGAGGGTTTATAACCTTTACTCCAGTTTTTATAGATGTGTGCTCGTACTATAAGGTGACGTTTAGATTCACCAATATAACAGGCCTTACAGTCTCCGCACGTGTATAAGTAGACGATGCGTGAACAATCGGCACACGATTTTTGTTGCGGAGAAAAAATTAAGTCTTAAAAATAACTTGAGGATAATAAGAGTCACATATATTTTTCAACAGTTTCGTGATAAGGAAGCAGGAGCATAAATCTTTGGTGGCTTGACAAACACATTGGTTAAGAATGAGGAAGTTATTTTCGTGTGAAGGGCTGGATAAGAAGAGATAAGGTTGTAGGCCCTATTTAATAGGCTTAGTATGAGATTGCGTTTGAAAGATAAGGTTATAAAGCTGTCAAACTGGGTGAAAAAGCCAGTAAAAGTTTTCACGCTAGACGGAAGTTGTAAAACCATCAGCATCATGGTTAACAAGAACGTCCAGAAATGAAATAAAGAGTTATTCATCTCCATTTCATGGGTGAAGTGTATAGAGGGGTGTTGGATATGATCAGTGTGGTGAAAAATAAGGAGAATATCATCAATATACCTTCTGTGGAGAACAGGCTTGAAGCTAGGAGAGTTATCAAACCAGTTTTGTTTGTGACGACAGAGGAAAATCAGTGCTACTATCACCGTTTTAATGATTCACTAAAAAAAACATCATTTCTTGGTAATTAATTCATATCTATCCACGTTTTTGTTCAACAAATAATAAAAAGTTAATAAGTTCCAAAAGAGTACCTTAAATTTAGGTTATAATTGTACTAGTTTTGATTGTTGAAATTTATTTCATTCCAATTATATTTGCCCTAAAAATGTTATGTAATGGTATTTTGTACTTTATTAGTTTAAAAACGTTATTTATAATAAATGGCGCCTATTGCAAATAAACGAAAATTAAAACGGTGATGATGATAGTATCCGTGTAGACAGCACGCTATTGTAGACCAGAAAACGTCGGACCCAGAGGGGAGCTCATAGCAACGCCATCTATCGTCTCGTATAGGGTATTGTTAACGAGGATGAGATAGTCTAGTCGAGAGTTCAATGATAGATTTAGAAAGTCCATGAACATGAATGTTTTCTATAAAGAGATTAGACGGTGTACTATTAACGGTTACCATCAGGGGAATGTTATTAAAGATAGAAGTAATATCGAAACTAACCATCAAGTGATTTTTAATGGGGGGGGGTCAGGTGTTGTAAATTCGTTCAAAGTAAAATGTTTCAAGATGAGTGGAATGAATTTAGTTATGTTATAACTAAGGTAGAAAGTATAGGTCGGACTGGAGTGTCTGGTTTGTGAACTATCGGTAGACCAGACAATACTCCAGTTTGGGAAGCTGTAGGATATAAGATGAGTAGAAGGAATTTAGTTAAGTTATAACTAAGGTAGAAAGTATAGGTCGGATTGGAGTGTCTGGTTTGTGAACTATCGGTAGACCAGACAATACTCCAGTTTGGGAAGCTGTAGGATATAAGATGAGTAGAAGGAATTTAGTTAAGTTATAACTAAGGTAGAAAGTATAGGTCGGACTGGAGTGTCTGGTTTGTGAACTATCGGTAGACCAGACAATACTCCAGTTTGGGAAGCTGTGGGATACAAGTTGCTGTAAACACAATCAGAGATAATATTTCTTTTACTTAGGTTTCTAAGAAATCTCTGAGTTTTTCCCTTCAAGTTGCAAATGTGGGTTAATGTTTCTTTGAGTAGAAGTTTGAATTTATTGTTGTCGTCAAGAATGTTAATATAGTCATCTTTGTTGAGGATAACAAATCTGTTTCCTTTGTCCGGTCGAACATAGTCATCTTTGTTGAGGATAACTCTGTTTCCTTTGTCCGGTCGAATATAGTCATCTTTGTTGAGGATAACAAATCTGTTTCCTTTGTCCGGTCGAACATAGTCATCATTGTTGAGGATAACAAATCTGTTTCCTTTGTCCGGTCGAATATAGTCATCTTTATTAAGGATAACAAATCTGTTTCCTTTGTCCGGTCGAACATAGTCATCTTTGTTGAGGATAACTCCGTTTCCTTTGTCTGGTCTAACACAGTCATCTTTGTTGAGGATAACAACTCCGTTTTCTTTGTCCGGTCGAAGATAGTCATCTTTGTTGAGGATAACAACTCCGTTTTCTTTGTCCGGTCGAATATAGTCATCTTTGTTGAGGATAACAACTCCGTTTCCTTTGTCTGGTCGAATATAGTCATCTTTGTTGAGGATAACAACTCCGTTTCCTTTGTCT